TTCTACACTAATAATGATCCTAGTTCGGACAAAATCCTGAGTGGCTTTAATTCCATACCATATATTAGAACCTAGTCTTTTCTTATTAATAGTCGAAAAGATATCAGAACCATATTTATATTTACTTCTTATAACTTGAACTCAAAAGTCATCACCATGTTTGATAATACCCCAACCGAGCTTTATTTGAAAAGCTTGACTTTGTTGTTATGCATGCATAATTCTAAGTCTTCTATGAGCCTTAGGTCTACACACTTTATCTCAAGAAACTAGATGCACTTTCCTCTTTTTACTAATAGTACCCTAAGGGAAGTTCCAGTTTGCCCTCTCTAGATCCTCACATGTTGCAGCCAAGATGCTAGTTGTTTGCATGGTATAATTAAGAATACTATAAGTGATAAAATTGATCAATGTAGTTCTCCTAACAAGAGCGAGTGAATTAGCCTTCTAATTGGTCAACCTTTTTTTCACCTTATTAATAACATCTTGGTATGTATTCTTATCCACTCGCTTGTGAAGGATTGGTACTCCTAGGTACTTGCCAAGATCTAAGGTGTAAGAGAAACAACGAGCATTACTCAACTCCTAGCTTTTATGGTAAATTATATTAGGAGTGTGTTTGGTTAGGGGTTTTTTTGGAAGAGAGGTGAACAATGATGCTCCCCTTCCCTTTCATCTAGTTAAAAAAATTTGGAGGGGGAAGGGAGCTAAAATAACCCCTCCGCTTTCCTTCCTTCATATTTCTCCCCTTCAATTTTGGATTTTTTGGATGGGAGCTAATTTTTTTGACTATTCTACCTTTATTTAATTTTTAATATTCTAAGCATACCCATAACTAAAAAAACTCTCCTTTAAATCAAATTGTGTTATACTCCTAAATCTTGACTGACCTCATTGAATTTTTTTTATTTATAAAAGTTGCATTTCATCATATTTTATTATAGATTTAATTTTTTATTTTTTATAAAAAATCGTTATTATTATAATTATTGGTTTACTTTTTTTTCACATATTGACAATATGATAGGTTGAAAGTGAATTTTTAAAAAAATCATGCAATTTAAATTGAGATGTAAAATTATTTTTTACAAGAAAAAATTAAAAAAATTTAAACTAATGTGTAAGGATATACTAATAAATTAGTTATTACCTTCCTCCCCTCTCCTCCTAAATTAAGCAAAACATCATTAAAAACCCCTCCCCTCCCCTCCCCTCCCCTCCCCTTGAAGCAAGCACACCCTATAGGAGAAGAACACCTTAATCTTTGCTGCATTAACCTTAGGTCCTGAACTTTCACATAATTGATTTAATCAATCATTAATCACATCAACATGTTGAAGAGAAGCTTTTGTAAAAAGAACAATATCATCAGCAAAGAAATAAATGAGAGATAGGAGACCTATCCTTACAAACTTTAACTGGCTTCCATTCACAATCATCCATTTTCAGCTGGATCAAATAGGCAACTTTTTCTATGCAAATCACAAAAAAGAAAGAAGAGATAGGATCACCCTGTCGGACACCCCTTGTTGATTTGAATGAATTAGCTCGTCCCCTATTCCAAATAAGTTACATGGAAAAGGTGGTTACACAATTCCATATAACATTCACTATCTGACTTAGTGATTGAAGTTCCAAGAGACAATTTCTCAAAAAGTCCCATTTGGCTCTATCATATGCTTTTTTTAAGTCAATTTTAATAGCCATAAAACTCTTTTTACTTTTCATAATTTTTCATGGTATGAATGACCTCTTGAGCCATAATGAGATTGTCAGAAAAATATCTTCCTAGAACAAGGCTACATTAATTAGGACTAATACTCAATGAAAGAAAAATTTTCATTCTTTTTGTAATAATCTTGGTCACCACCTTGTAAATCACATTATAAAGACTTATAGGGCGCAAGCCTTTAAGCATGTCTGGGTGATCATTTTTAGAAATAAGAACAATAAGAGTACTATTAACAGAATGCAAATAAGTAGGATTACTAAAAAGATGTTTTACCATGCAAACCACTTATTCTTGGACATGCTCCCATTGGCTCTGGAAGAAGAGGCCGATCAAACTATCAAGTCCTAGTAGCACTTTCAAGGTGCCCATATCAGATAATGCATCTTTAATCTCCTTTTTAGTCACAACTTGCCTGAAGCTCCTTAACATACCAGTTAGAATAGCTGGATACATCTTATAATAATTTAACTCAGGTTTATTCTCTATATCTTCATGACACAGAGTTTTAAAGAAAGAAGTAGCCATAGTTTTAATTATAGTAATTTTGAATACCCAGTCTCCATTTTCATTCTAGAAAGCACTCACTTTGTTATGTTTTCTTCTACCATTAGCTACTTAATAAAAAAAATTTGCTATTCTTATCACCATGAATATTCTAGTATTGTCTTGCTTTTTAAGCCCAGAGAAAATTTTCTTGCACCATAACTTCCTCAAGATCTTTCCAAAGTTCATGTTAAAGATCTTCCAAGCCCTTATCATGCTCACGAAAAGTTAACTATCTTGTTATTCCATCCAAACAAGTAAGTAATCTTCTTTTTCGTGCTTCAGTGAATCCAAGCACTTCTTTGTTTCATTTATAACAGGCCTTAACAAAATGTTGAGTATTAGAGTTCTAATCAGCCCTAAGGACCTAAGGGGCTATAAAAGCGAAATGGCTTGTCCACTTTCTCAATTTATTATAAGTCGTCCGTTTATTTTGAAATACTATAGTTTGCCATGCCACATATTCGCTCAACTTCATTATTCCCTTTGTCCTATTTATATAGTAGATATATAAAATTTATTTTAATCATATTTATAAAGTATCTCAATAATTATTGTGTTCATCTTTACCTGTTTGTCCCTATTAAATGTTGATAAACTTATTAAATATTAGAGTATTTTATTTTTGTAATTGAAATGCTTTTTGTTTTTGTTGGAGATTGTTATGGATTTAATATGATTATATTTTCATATTTTATGATAAAGTTTACATAATTATAAGTATTTTTGTTATTTTAATTAAGCCTATCAGATTGAAATAAATTGTTGCCTCTCACAAAGGAGAGAAACAAAGAAAGGTATTGGACTATTGAGATCAGCTTTTTAATTATATGGATCAAGTATGGTTTTGTTCAACCTCAAGTTAAATTTGAACTAGATCAGACTATGAGTTGTTTAATCTAGTTTTTTTAATGAAAGTGATCAAATTTTGAGTTAAGCCAAAATTCCATCTTGTCAATCTTTTCTATGGCCCTACTTGTAAGCATTCATTCATGTCCTTATTAAATCAATTTCAACCACCTCTCCATCAAAAAAAAAATCAATCACTTCACTAGAATAAAAAAATATAATCAATTCATTAACATTATCTTAAAATTATAAAAAAATCACAACCTTGGCCATATTTGAGGGAAAAAAACACAATATTCAATGAGCTATATAGAAACATTAAATTAAAATTAAATTCTCCACTTAATAATTTACAATAGGGATAAAATTGAAAAATAATAATTAATAATCCTATATATAATTTATATTAAGAAAAGTTAATCTGTAGCTCCTTCTAGTTTTCATCAAAATACTTATAGTTTGATCGAGTAAATATATCAGTCTCTAAAGATTAAAATTATTAATAAATGATTAATTTTTCTAAAACAGAAGCACTTTCAAAGCTTACAAAAAAATTGATTAAATACTTTAGGCCAAAGAAAGCTGATTTAATACAGAAAGTTTATATTTTTATTATTTCTTATGAAAAAATATATATACATATAGTTATTTAGAAAACATAATTTAATTATATAAATTTTGAGTTATAAAAATTATGTAATTAATTCTAATGTTATGTAATCTTTTAGTAAAAATATAAAAGTGCTTAACTTTATTTTTTAGAAGACAAAATTAAGGATTTTAATTCTCATGAATCAACATATTTAGTTGATCAAACTATTAGGGCTCAATTAAAATAAAATAAATTAAAAAAACTTAATTCATAATTGATAAAAACTAGAAAGACTTGCAAAATAATTTTTTCTTTATATTGAGAATCAATAATTTTTTTTAGAAGATGTTTTGTAATGGAAAAAGGGCACAGTACAATGTACTTTAGTCTAAATTATACTCAATTTGTCTTATTTTATAAGATATTTTTAAGAGTGATTTGATATTTAAAAATATAAAATGTTTTTTTTAAACAATAAGGTAGATTTGTAAATATAGAAATAGAATAAATATATTCTTTCTATTAAAAAATGTAAGACATTTTATGAGAAGTTGGATGTTAAAAAATATAAGATATTTTTAGTTTTTCAATATATAGTAATTGTCTTTCTTTCAAAAGTTTCTTTATTGATGAATAGCTTTATATTTAATGACTTTATATTTATTATAAGATATTTAATAGTGATAAATATAAAAAATATGATTAATTTAAAAATAAATAACTACTTTATTGAGGTAAAATTTAATTAAAAATATTTTATATTTTTTAATAAAGAGAGTATTACTTTTGGATCACAATATAAAACATCATATAGAAATATTACCTTATCTAAAATATATATCATCCAAAATTTTTTATATTTATTTTTTAATTATATTTTTACTTTATTTATTACTCTTTTTTTTAAAGAATTATATATTACAATTTTAATTACTATTATTATCACTTTGTATAAAATATTTAGTAAAAATATAAATAAAAAATATTACTCCCTCTATTTAAAAATGTAATGTATTTTTTAAAAAATTAGATATTAAAAATGTAAGGCTTTTTTAATCTTTTGAGATGTAATTATTATTTTTTTAAAAAATGTTCTTATTGATAATAAATTTATATTTATTATAGAGTATTTAATAAAAGTATATATAAAAAAATAAAATTAATTTAAAAATAAAAAATTTATTTGATTAAAAATAATATTTAATTAAAAATATTTTATATTTTTAAAGGAAGATAATAACGTTTTTTAATAATCGAAGGTTTTAACAATTATTGTTCTTGTGAGGACTGCACTGGCAAAACTTCGTGGCTGCTCGTCCACCACCTGATCAGTTCTCTGCCACGCAGTTCTTATCCCTGTCAAGTCTTGGCATTCCAGTTTCCGCAGGAAAGCTGAAGGCATAAGGGATTTCGGACAAGATGAGCATGTTAATCTCCACGCCTCCTGGCAACTGTCATCCTTCGGGGCTCCACTTCGCTTCTCCGGTTCCTTCGAACATAAAGTTGCCAGGGTTCCATTCCATCTCTTCATTCGATAGAACCAACTTATCCTACTCTCTAGTTCGCAACAAGGTATCTATATGTGCCACTACCGACGAAACAAACACACAAGCAGCTGGTGAGCAACTCTCGGAGGAGCTAAAAGCGGAATCCATCGAGAAAAGCACGGTCTCCAGTCGACCCACCTCTTCTGCTTCAATCGACAAGGATATTAAAAAGGCCAGTTTTGCTCCCCGGACCATCCTTTATGCGCAATTTAATTCGATTTTCAGAATGTCCGCTTCGTATCAGTAATTTGTTTAATGCATTGAGTCCGTACTTCGGTCAGGTCATATTGGGGACTGGGTACTTGAGCCCTTGAAGTTATATATATATATATTTTTTAATCCACTATGTGGTGATTTTAAAATCCGAATCCTCAATTCTTTCAAGTAACAGGGATGCAAGTTGTAGCGAGGGCACTCACTTTGTTCCCGTGAAAAGTTTGCCAATGATACAAAAAATTAGCACGAATGTCGCTCAACAAGTTATCGCAGTTTTGGTGGATTCCGTGATGACTTTTCATCTGCTTTCCGCGAGCATCACTAGGCTATAGTTAATTGTGGATAATGCATGCATTTCCCTTGAAACATTGTACAATCTCGTGAGACTGAGAGGTACTGAAGAAGACATTGGATACTAGATAATGTAGACTGAATTTTATTTCTATTTACATGACAGGTTGTTCAAAAGACTGCCTCAACTTTCGCGCCAAGGGCTTCAATGGCCTCAAAGAATCCCGCCGTCCCTGGAACTGCCTTGTATACTGTTTTTGGGGTTCAAGGGTATGCCTCAATGTTGTTAGGTGGAGTTTTGTCTTTTAACCTCTTATTCCCATCAAATGAACCAGACATTTGGAGGTTAATGGGAATGTGGTCCATTTGGATGTTTAGTAAGTTCACTCCTACCATTTTCAGTCTTAATAGAAAGTTTCAGCAGTCTATCACCCAAAAGAAGAGAAAAGAAAATTTCGGCAGTCAGTGAGAAATTTCATAACCTTCTTTAGATCACGCATTTCCGAGAAACAGCGAGTTGTTCTTGCTTCAAGTTCAATTTCCCTGCATCATGATATCTGATGCTACACGTTATTATGATCTGCAATCTATGCAAAATAATGTTGCTCATGTTCTTTGATTTAGTAGAGAAACTTGAATAATAATTACGACTCCTTTTTCTATGGAGTCAGAAGATAATTGTGACCCTTTGAACTTGCAGCAATTCCTTCACTAAGAGCTCGAGACTGTTCAAAAAATGAGAAAGAAGCGCTGAACTATCTGTTTCTTCTCATCCCATTGCTCAATGTTGTAATCCCATTCTTTTGGAAGTCTTTTCCTGTTGTCTGGACTGCAGACACGATAGCTTTCTTTGGAATGTATGCATGGAAGGTACATATTTTACCTTGGCTCTTGAAGCCTGAACTTTTAATGAGCTCCATTTCCTGTTGACTCATTATGTGAAATATACCTCTTTCTACAGTTTGGATGGCTGCAGAGAACGACGGACTAGGGAAATCAATGTGGTGGCAACCCACCATTTATATTTCAGATATTTTGTGCGGCAACTTTGTCATGGATCCCATGTGCATACTGCAAACAGTGATGATAATGTCGCAGCAGTCTGCATCTCTAGGAATGCAAGATACCATAAACTGATCCCTAGCTTATTATCAATTGACAGGATGATAATATAGGTTGATTTTGAAATTTTACGGCTCGTTATTGCAGGATCTTGTCCCCCTTCCTTTTTTCTCTCAGTCTATTTGGACGGTGATGAAATGGCAAATTGTAGAAAAATGAATTCATCAAATACAAGAAGGAAAAAAAAAGAGAGTTCATTTATTCCCTTGTTTTCTGGACTACTTTTGAATTATGAAGAGAGAAGGAAAGCTAAACAATGCGGTTTGGGGAGATATAGTATAAGTCCATTATTTCGGGATTTTGTCATCATCTTTAGGGTTCAGTGATTTCAAAACTGAATGTCAACACGCGCTGTAACATACGAGTTTGGAAAGCTAAGATGATTTGGTTATATATATATATATATATATATATATATATATAGTTATACATGAATTTTGACTGTATTAACTTCTTTAGAATCAAAAAGAACAAGTGTTGACAGGATTGTGTGTGTTTGGTTTTCATTGATCAAAAGTCACTTTGTCAAAAATTTATTGTTTAAAAATCAGTTTAGTAAAAATTAATTATTATAATAAAATTTATATTTAGATATATTTTTGTAAAAGTCAGTTTAATAAAATAAAAATTATTTGGATTATATATGGTAAAATGTGTTTTTGAATGTGCAATTATTAAAAAAAGAAATTAATTTTTATAATTTATAATTTTTATTATACAAATATTTCATATTAAAAATGTTTAAAAAATATGCAATAAAAATTTAAAAAATGAAAAATTTTATATGTTCATAGTAAGAATAAAAAATTATAGTAAAGTTTAATATATTGAACAAAAATTATATAAATAGTTTAATATACATTATTATTAAAAATTAAATGCTTTATGGATTTTTTTTTCACTTTATCTTGATGTGATATCACATATCCAATTTAATGGTGGTCAGATTTTTCCCCTCAAGTCGATGGATATCATATTTAGTACACAAATATAAAAAAATTAAAAATATTTGGAGATATCCTATAAATCAATGCATCCTGTTATTTAGAGTACAAATATTGTCATAAAAAAGAATATAAATATTAATATTTGGAGATATCTTCTACTAAATTTAAATTATTGTTAATTAAATTGTTAAAAATTGAATATTTATAGAAGTCATAGATTAGAAGGATTAGAATATGCTGTTCTAAGATTTTTTTACTCCAACGATTCCATGAAAAAATATAATAAAATTAACATTATAAAATTGTTCAGTCTAAATTACATTTATAGGGACGACCCGTCCTTTTCCCCCTTTTTCTTAATTAGTTATATTTTTGGTGGATTTAATTAATTATATTTGACGATAAAAGTTATGAGAAGCAGTTGGAGTCAATATTTTATAAGTAGAATATCATCAGTCATTGAACATTATCGCAGCATTGGCGTCAGGCATTTCTCAAGGGTAGTGAAAGAAGATAAGAAAACAAAGGAATGGCACAGAGAGAAAAAGAAGTACCAAAATACATACATTCGAAAAGCTTTAAATAATCATGTTTCTTAAGTTAATTTTCAACCACTATTTAAATATATTTTTTATAAAATATTTTACTCAAACAATTTTTAACATTTTAAAATGAAATCTTGCTTTTTAAATGTAAAAAGTAAGATTCTCAAACGTACCTTAACTTTTGCCAATTTATTTAAATTTGTATCATTCTGGAGGACTTGTAATAAGTTTCAAACTGCAGAAGGTTTCAGCTCTTGGGATTGCTATTTATTTGAGCTTCAAGATTGTTATTATTTTTTGTCCCATTGAAAAAAACGTACAACTATTTTTTTTAAAAAAAAAGAAAACCTAACGGCGGAAGAGGGTCTCTTTTCTTTTTTTATTTTTCTTCATGGACTAGAGGTTAGGCTACCCCAAGCAAGGATAAGCTAGAGCAAAATGGCTTACCAAAATTTGTCCTGGAGAACCTTTCATTCCTCTTGGAAATCGTTCTAAAACCACTGCAGGTTTGCCAATCTTTCTCTTTCCTCTATCTGTCCTTGTAATTTGTAGCAACTCAATAAGTTCAGTTAGGAATTTTCTGTCTCAGTGTTTTATAAGGCCATTTGATTCTTGTTCAAGCTTACGATTTATCAACCCGTGAAGATCCATTAATCAATTTATTTATTTATACTGTTCTAAAATTTAAATACAATGAGACTAATGTCTTACTTTTTGGACTAATACAATAAGATTAATGTCTCTTATGATATCTCATTCCTATGTCATCTACTGCATCCTCCTTTGGATTGATATTGCCTCCTTTTAGTCCAATACCCTTTCACTATTAAAAGCGATTTTTACTTGCCTCAAGCTTTTTTGTGGGGCTTATCTACGTGGTGTTCAGAACATTTAGTATCTGCGGAAAATATTCATGAACACGTTTAAACTTTAGCGGCCCAGCCCCTGAGACTCCAGAAGTGAAAGGCCAAGATGGTGGGACAATTTCTTCTTTTATTGACCAATCACCTTTTACTGCTTTTGTCCAAGAGAAATGCACTCCTCCAAGGAAGCAACTTCAATCTAGTTCAAAAGTTAAGCAAGTTATTAAGTTAACAGCAATAGTGTGCTTTCTGAGCCGACCAGCATTGCAACATCAAAATCTGGCCTTTTCTCAGCCAAGGCACTCACAGTCTGATTCAGATTTTGACGGAAGAAAATCAGATGCTCCCATGAATTCTGAACAGGTGATCAAGGAAAAGCTGAATAAAAGAAAAGCACGCCAGCTGGTGGCTTGATCGTTTTAAGTGACGATGATGAGCAGAATCTAAAGCTCAAACAAAGAAAGAAACTGATGAAAATCCATAAATTCCGGTGTGCCATTGTGTAAGCACATGTGGTATAAAAAGGGGTCGTTGCTCAAACGTTGGAGTGAATCTAGCTCCTCTGCTTCAGTGAGAAATGCAACACTTCTCCCTGACGCTCTTCACCAATGTTTGCCAGAAAATTGAATGGAAACAAACAATTTTTTATGCAGTTGACTTAACCCAGTATGAGATTGTGTTGGAAGCTTCAGCTGGGAGAAAGATTACATGCATGATTGGGTGAAATGTTCAGGGTCTCGTGTGACGTAACACCTTGGAACTCGTAGGGAACATGCACGCGTAACTTTATTTTTCAGATGATTCAACTGTTTTCTATCTTGGGCTAGGAGTGTCAATGGGATATTTTGGGATTAGTTTAATATATTAGCTGTTTCTTTCAATCCCCTCTTATTTGGCCTTCCTCTCATTAGAGAATGTCCCTTCATGCTATGACCTATGAGAAACTTCCATTCTTCATTGATAAAATGCTCTTCATTAAATCTAGTGTGCTTTTAAAATCCAACCCGCCTAATTTTTTTTAATTAAAAAAAATCTCTTCACTAATAGATCACAATGGCAGTTACCAATTCTTGCATCCATCACCATGCAAAATTTTTCCATCTTTCCTCAAGCCATCTTGAGCACGGGACTTCTCTGCTAGTCTGCTCCTTAGTTTATAGTGTTATTAATGGGATCAAAGAAGCTCCTTCGGATCAACCAGAGAGCATAATTTAGACGAGAGCAAGACCGGTAAGTTTGGCTTTCAACTTAACTTGCTAGCCTCACGACTGAGTCGTTTATTCCCCTTTTCAAAATAACATAACTACATAAACACAGATTCAATCACTTTCTCATTCTCTCTCTTTTATTATTATACTTTTGTGTTTGCTAGAACACAATTAACACAACGAGGAACAGAAAAAACAGACTATACTAACAATAGCCAAGATCTTTATTCTTCATAGTAGATTTGAACGTATCCAAGCTCAAGATAGGAAAGCTCTAATCACACTTCAGTCTCAAGGAACCTCTAAATTCTGTGTTGTTCTAACAATTTGGCACTTGAGTTTGGACCTTCCAAGATGGGCGAAAATTCTTCTACTGGCTGCTGCTTGCAGCATTTTCTTTCCTAAAAGCATCTAGCCTTTGCTTGAACTCCTTACTCCTTTCAAAATTTGCCTTTCGCCTCAAAGCTTTCTGCTTGAAAAAGTCATTAAGGAGTGGGAAAACACAGAAAAACAGAGCAGGCCAGTGAAAAGGAAAACAGTAAAAACTCACTTCCTGCCTGAAACAGCTATCCAACTTTATCTTCAGATCTGTACATTTACCAAAGAATTTTCCATATGGATGGTCTATATGGCACTGTTGGAACTGCTCAATAACCTGCTAAACGCAGAGCCAGAACCCTTTCTTACTGATGATACCACAAATCTTTATCATCGTAGCAACATTACTGATAATAATTTACAGCACAATATGGAAAGACATAAGGGTAGACACACCAACACTAGGTTGCAAGAAAGATAATCACACCCCAAATATTCGAAACAAATTCCAGGGCTATTTCACAGTTAATATTTTCATTTAAAGCCAAATATCCAACAAGGCAACAACCGTCTTGCAGTCACATGTCATGGAGATGGAAAGAAATAACGAAAATATGAACAACAAGAACTTAATAAAGTAATTAAAAAATTTAAAAATAAAAGAAAGCAAAAACATATGTTTAAACTCACTTCTGCGCACATTGGGTGTTTGTGTAAGGTTAGAGGAGGATGCATTTTCCCACGATCCAATCAATACGAAGCACCAACCACCTGTTTAGTCAAGAAGGCTTATTGAATTCGCTATATTTTGATAGAGCAATTGTTATACCCTCAAACAGAAGGTGAAGCAAGAATAATCAGCAAAGTTAACATGAAAATTAAAGCACATAGCATGGCCGGACCTATACTACACTCAGTATGCCCCCATTGAAATCTTTGTACTATGCATAGTTGATATATAATACCCTTTTAATCTTTGTTCCAGATACTTTGACACAAATTGAGCAAAGTCATTTACAAGATCATACATCACAAATACCTTCAGAATTTTCCAAAATTGATGATAATATAACAAGATAACAGAATGCCACTACACGAGAACCAGCATTGCACAAAACAATACAATCCAAATTATACAAGTCGCTGGTAATCAAAATGAAGAAGGAAGAAGTATAATAGACAATTACATGCCGTTCAAACAAAAACTAGTGAAAAAAAAAACGTAAATATTCCCAAATTCAAAAGCGTCAATATTCAACGATTACACGATCAGGTTAAAGCCAAGTTAAAATTAAAAATTTAACACAGAGCAAGAACAGCCACGCAGAGAACAGATGACACCGGGAACAATTCAAATCTAGATTCAAAACCAGATTGAACAAATCAATCTCACCGGATTTTGGGAGTAGAAAAAGCCCAAGGGTTCGAACCTTCTTAACTGCTTGCCCGAGAACAACCACGCAGGTCTGACAGCTGTGGACGGCGTTCAACGGGGTGTGAAATGCTTGTTCGTCTACGAAGAGCACTGTATCCACCGCTCACGACAACGGGCTTCGTCGGCGCCATAATTAATTTGGTAAAATTAAATGCAACGTCATATAAAAAAATTAATTTCTACAATATTTATTAATAAGGGACAGAAGTTATTAATAAATTTTATAATAATTAATTAAAAAAATATGATAAAATTTTTAATTATATAAATAATATTAATCTCTCAAAATATTATAATTTTATTATAATTTATAACAATTTTTATATTAATAAATTTTAAAATAAAAATTATTTTATTTTTATTGAAAACAAAAAGCTTCATAATTTTATTAAAAAAATATTAATTTTTATTCTGAGGATCTCAATAATAAAAAAAAAATCACAACTTGTTAAATATATTTTTTATCTCAAAATAATAAATTATAATAATAATTTTTAATTAAAAAATAATAACTTTTTTTATAATTTATAAAAATTAAATTAAAGAATTACAGCTTGTCATATATAATTTTTATTATTAAAAAAAATTTTAAAATAATAAACTCAAGCATAACTTTTATTCAAAGAATAATAATTTTTATTTAAAAAATTATAAAAATTAGATAAAAAATTATAATTTATTAGTATAGATAAAATAATCTTTTAAATTTAAAATTTATTAATACAAAATGGTTTAGAGGCTTTATCAAAATTATAGTATTTTAATAGATCATATTTCCATCACATAATTAGAAGTATTTTATTATTATTTTTTAATGAATTTTTTATATGAAATTTTAACATAATTTTTCCATAATTTTAATAAGATATAGATAAAAAATTAATTACTCAAATTTTAAAACTTATGCCTGTAAATTTAGTATTAAAAAAATCTGTGATAGTATCATGTCAAAGAATGGATTCAGCTTATCCTAAATTTAAATTCTAAATTTTAAATTTAGAATATATAACCATGTTAAGTAATTATGTCAAATATATTTCAGTATACAGTGTTGGGTAATAATTTGGACTAGTCTAAAAAAGCAACGATAGTACTTAGACTTCTCTCCATGATCGTGAAATCAAAAAAAGAAAAAAAAAATTCACATCAAATAAAAATTTTACCGTAATTTTATTTTAACTATTTGATATGCTAAATATTCTTTTTTTTTTTTTTTTTTTTCATTGTTATTCGTTTTCTGATTTTCTTATACCACCCATTTCTTGAAAAAAAAATCTCAAATAATTAAAAAGAACTTGACTTGGTTTCTAAGATCATACATCTGGTCATATATCTCATTTTCATCTTTTAAGGGATTTAGCGCTTGTTTAAAAATATTTTTGTTTTATTAATCTATGAATTAGTGTTTTATAAAATATGTTTTGAAAATAAAAAATAATAAAAAATTAATATTTTTTACTTTAGAATAATAATTCCATAACAAATAAAAGATGTTTCCATTTTTATACTCTTCAAGACAATATTTAATTTTTTTTTATTTTCAAAACATTATCTAAAAATGCATTATTAAATATTTTTTTTTACTTTAGAGAGTAGAAAATTGTTCCAAAACAATCTAATAAAATAGTTTTCAACCAAAACATGAGATTGGAGTATTGACTTTTGGAGATAACTTTTGTATTCAATAACCTTAATAAAAAATATAAACTCCTTCAGTTTTATAGGAAATGCAAGTGGTTATCCCAAGAAATGAAGAAAAGATAATTAAAGCTGAGAGATTAATTAATGAGATATTGAATGAGGTGATTAAGATGGGAAGATAAATTAATGCAACTAATGATTTTTTGTAATAGGAGTAATTTTTTTAAAAAATTTCGATAATTTTTTATACATTTAAATTTAAAATTATCAACTAATTTTATAAATTTCTGGCAAAAAAAAACTAATTTTATAAATTATGCTAATTACTTTTCTGGCAACGAAAAATGATGCACGTGTAATAATATCTCAGTTCGCTTGTACGCCCACAGCCATTGCCCGACGGGCCGCAATGCACAATCCCGAACAACTGCAATCGGGCGAATCAAGGTCCCGTGCAAGTCACGTGTTCAGTCGCTTTATGAGGTGGTTGGCAGCCCCCTCTTCCGTCACCAGAATTTGTTCGAAGATGGTTGGGCGTTCTCTCGCCTTCTTCGTTAGCTTCCTCGCTTTTTCTGTCGTCGCTCTTGCCTCTTATTGCTCCATCACAGGTTGGATATGATTATGACTCCTAAGCTTTTAATTTCATTACTTCGTGTAGCTCGAATCCTCCTCTTTTACGGTCATTTTCCTTCCGTGTTTTAAATTTCTGAATAAGCCTCGGAAGTTAATTTTCTTCATATGTGAATGCTCCTCCTTTCATCCATGATGCTTTGATGTGATGGGTCAATCTTGGCAGTAGCTCTTGCTCATTCTGCTTCGAGTAGGTTTGTGTTCGACGATTGTTGGCTGCATTACTTCAAAATTTGTTGGGTGATCTTAACATGTTAAATCAGCAAAAAAGCATCCAATCTATGAATTTCTTCCTCTGGACTTTTACCTTTGTTACTGAAACGGTATTTGAGTTATGGGTAAACTTATTCATGACAAAAAATGATAATATGACCATTTCCTGAATCCTGCTACTGAGCCTTTGGGTAGAATTAGATCACGAACAAGAACAGTGCCTCTTTTTTTTGGGGGGGGGTTATAATTGACGCAGAGCTCTGTACGCTGATTCGAATTGAATGAACATGTCATACGCGACTTTCTTTATTTCCCCCTTATATGCTATTCTTCTACTGCGTTAACTTGCAGGCATAAACTTTACACCATGTGTATAGCAGCTTATAACCTTCATTTTTACATCCAGGACCTACTCAGCGATGGTTTTCATGTGCTTATTCTGTGTAAATTATGTGTTAAATTTGATAGAATGGTCTAAATTACGGGAACCACAAGAAGCATGAACACTCCAGTGAAATAGACAGGGTCTTTGCTGATGAATGTCGGGTTTTCTCAAAATCTTAATGGCACAATGTATAATTACTTTTTGCTTTCTTAATCTACGAATATGCAGGGTTACCGCTTGTTAGGAATATCAGTGAGATTCCTCAGGATAACTATGGAAGGGCAGGTCTTTCTCACATAACTATTGTAGGTTCAGTCTTGCATGGAATGAGAGAGGTATCTGTCATGATATAATTGATCATTTTCATTTTCTTTAGATACATTAAACTTGCTTATATTCTCACCAGATAAAAAATACCATCAGAATTATTGAAGTTCTTACAATAATAGTGAACGTTAAGAAAATGCCTCAAGCTATGATCATCATTGCAGAAAATGCAAAGTTAACTCGAGAACTGGTTTTGTGTTGATGTTAACTATGTCTTTTGTTTATTGGAATGAAAAAATTGGATATGGTGTAATCATATTGTTCATATCTTTTAGCAGCAAAAAAAAAAAAACAAAACAAAACAAAACAAAACAAAAAAGAATTAATAATCATAGTCACGACCAGTCAATTTAAGTCATAATATTGAAACATTGTTTTGCTGCTTTCCGTTTGCCAGATGAGTTTGATATGTGTGTTATTAGTAAGTGTCATTTACTTTCGAAAATCATCTGGTTTAAAACAGGTTGAGGTATGGCTTCAAACATTTTCACCAGGATCACGCACTCCAATTCACAGGCATTCCTGTGAAGAAGTTTTCATTGTCCTCAAAGGGAGTGGCACTCTCTATCTTGCATCAAGTTCTCACGAAAGATACCCGGGAAAGCCACAGGAGCACTTTATCTTTCCAAATAGCACATTTCATATTCCGGTTAATGATGCTCATCAGGTAAACATCTGATATAATAGGGTGAGAATTTTCCCGCTCAATTTTTCTTTGAAATCTCTTCAACTTCTCAACTTGCGGTATGTTTATGTCTATTGATTTATAATGTCATACACTAATAGGATGTTAGCTCTTAATGTTGCTTACTGATCTTAACAGAATGTGAAGCACGAATTTTTTTTTTCTTTTTCTTTTTGGGGTCTAGTTGGGTGGGTGGAAGGGGGCTTGGAAGAGTGGGCAGATTCTACAATTTTTTAAGTTATCAAAGATAATCTGCATTGCAGTTATGGAATACCAATGATCGCGAGGATTTACAAGTGCTTGTTATCATATCAAGACCGCCAATTAAAGTGTACGTAACCTCTATTAACCATTCGTTTATATGCTCCTTATTTAAGTTGGAAGTTAAGTTTTCAAAAAATATAACTTTTATTCTGTGAACTTTCTCTCAATTATTTATCCAGGCCTAGAATTTTGACTTAAAACAATTTAGTCCTTGTAGCTTATTGAGTTAAGAGATTGTAGGGATCGAATTGTTTTGAATCAAGAGACTATAGGGATTAAGTTGTTTTTAGTTAAAGTTTAGAAACTAAATCAATAACTAAGGAAAAGTTTAGGAGCTAAAAGTTATATTTTATAGTTGCTTACTTTTGCTCATTCCAGAGTTGACCAAGGTATGGCTCGGAATGAGGAGTAGGTCTGTTTTGAACCATTTTCATCTCTCTTATTGTATAATGCACTTTAAACTACCTAGTGACTTGGGTGAATGCTGGATGTCCTTGTGTTCTCTCAATTAGTCGATGATCATTTTCATCCCTCTTTTTTTTGGCGTTTAAAAAGACCACATGCTTGGTTATTGATGTTAATAAAAATATTATCAAGACCGACTTTTATCATACTGTCTGGGCGAGTAAATGCATCATAAATATATTTATTAAGAAATCATAGTAGGTAAACTATTCTCAAATTTAACTGCTTCTTGATCACTGTGCATCCGGGGATGGTTTCCATTTTTGGGGTGGGCCATGCCATACCATGTTAGCACGAGACTAGTGAGAAATGGTAGCTAGCTGGAGACTCCGTTTAGAGATTCTTTACACTTTCGGCCTTTTATGTCCATTAAAACTCATCTCTAATATGATACATGGAACTGTGGAGGGCAGGAGGTATATCGTTTATTGAATTATGGAGTTTTGATGCAGACATTTTTGCTTCTTTGATTCTGTCATGTTTTTCCTTTTTCTTGGTTATTATTGTTCGCTTGTCATTATTTATGTGTTTTGACTCTTTTGTAGGTTTATATACGAGGACTGGTCCATGCCTCATACTGCAGCAAGATTGAAATTTCCTTACTACTGGGATGAGCAATGTTTTCAAGCACATCCAAAAGATGAATTATAATTGAATCAGGCTTGATTGCTCTGTCATTTCCTTTACAGCTGGAAAAATCAAAATTAGGACGAGCTTTTCTTTTGATGTATTTTTACGTATACCATTTGAGTGAACGAAACCGGTAAAAATGGAGACTTTAAACATGTATCTTATACGTATCCTAACAGAAGCCTGATTGTCGAGCCGGTTAAGAATATTTACCAGAATTGGATCCAAGGGAAAGGGATGAAGACAGGGCATTTTATTGGCAAGATGTACGATACCACAATTCACTGTCAACGTGCACAGTAATGATCATGCACGGAAATATTTGGTCGAGGGCGGTTGTCCCATGTACCCACTACTAACCCCTCTAGTTATTTAGATATTGGTGGGTATAATCTTACCGCGATAAAAAAAAAAAACAGGGATAACAGTTATTTTTGTCTTTTAATTTTAGCTGAAGGTTATTGGACATTTTAAATTTAATTATAAGTTAATTCTATTCCTTAATGTTAAAGATTCTTTCTCTTATCTTTTTATAGTTAACTCACATTATAAAATATTTTTTAGTGGATTTTACATTCATTTTTTAAATATTTTTTATTATAAAATATTTGAGATGACGGTATTTACTAACTTTTTGATGTAGAGGTAAAAATAAACATTAACCTAATATTTTATAATAAAAAATATTTTAAAAATTGAATGTACGGTTCACTAATGGTAAATTGATAAAAAAAAAAATCTTTAATAGTAAGAGACAAAATTGATTTATGATTGAATTTAGATGTTCAATAATCTTTCAAATAAAAGTGAGGAACCAAAATGATTGTTAACCCAAAGAAATAAGTAACTATGGTGATATACTAATTTTACTTGTTATATATCATTTATTAATTATTAATATAATATTTATTTCTTTTCTTAAATAATTGATTTAGTTTTGTAAATCTAATGTGCTTATGAAGAAAAAAGTCATTATGACATATTGGCATCGCTTGAACTTGATGTCGGGCCCAAAAATATTGTGGGTCACATATTAAGGGAGCCCGTATTAAATGTTTCATCATAAATGTTCGTATGGATAAATATGGCAAGTGAGATCAACCCAATTGGTTGGCCAAAAAAGAAAATATAAACCCAATTGAAGTCTATAATCTTTAAAGAGAGAAAATCTTATAATGCCTTATTTTGGCGGCAAATAAATGGAAGGGAGGCAGCTGTTCATGGAAGGTCGCCTCTTTTACGGTGAGTCAGTAACACATACAGGACAGGCTTGAAATATCAAATAATCAAATGAAAAAAATAAACGGAAGATAACACCACAGACATAGACAGAAGATAATATTACACCTTTTTAATGGCCAGTTAATTGGGGAAAGAATTGAATTTCCCAGGATCACAGACCAAAATTTGACAGAGAGCCAACAATCAACTAAATATCAGCATGCTCCCCGAATTCAGGCACGAGAGGAGGAAAGTATATAGAAAATCCCACGGCAAAGGAAAATAGATAAAAACATGAGTGAGAAACGAAGGGAATTGATTAGAGACGCAGCTTATTTGGCAGAGATATAAATAAGGAAAAAAAGAAGAAAGGAGAAATGGTTGAAAGAAGAGAGCAGGGAGGCTCCGAGGATTGTTCTGTTCCTCACAATCCCCACGGACCTGCTTTCCTTTGGTATAATGGAATGAGTGATCATGAACTGTGGCCTTTGTCTCAACCACCCTGACAATGGCTTCCACCATCTAGCCTCTCTTCGCTCCCTCACCGCCCCTCCCGCCAATTTCCCACTACTGGGGACAGGATGGCCTCCTATAGTGCTTCTTTTTGGGCCCTATCCCAACACCTCGTCGGCCTCCTGTCTTTCCTCCTCCTCCTCAGCGCCGCCGCCGCCGCTACCATCCGCGTTGGCGTCGTCCTGAAGCCCGCCCCCGATGCCCCCAGTTTCCGTGAAGCCCCGGCCTTTCGCAACGGGGACGCCTGCAATGCGGAGAAGATCCACGTTGCCATGACACTGGACTCTAACTACCTCCGAGGCACAATGGCCGCCGTCTTCTCCATCTTGCAGCATTCCACCTGCCCTGAGAACATTGAGTTCCATTTCCTCTGGGCTAGGTTCAAACCCGAGGTCCTTTTCAGCATCAAAACCACCTTCCCCTACCTCAAATTCCAAATTTACCGCTTCGATTCCGGCAGGGTGCGTGGGAAAATCTCCAAATCCATACGTCAGGCATTGGACCAGCCTTTGAACTACGCAAGAATCTACCTTGCTGATATGATCCCCAGTTACGTGAATCGGGTCATATACTTGGACTCTGACCTGGTGGTGGTGGACGACATAGCGAAGCTTTGGGAGGTTGACTTGGAGGGCAAGGTGGTGGCGGCGCCTGAGTACTGCCACGCCAATTTCACCAACTACTTCACGGACCTGTTCTGGACAGACGCGGCTCTGTCTCGAGCATTCGAGGGTCGAAACCCATGCTATTTCAACACAGGGGTCATGATAGTGAACGTGGAGAAATGGAGGGAAGGGGATTATACTCAGAAAGTGGAGAGGTGGATGGAAGTGCAGAAGCAGAAGAGGATTTACCATTTAGGGTCTCTGCCTCCTTTTCTGCTGGTGTTGGCCGGCGATATAAAGGCTGTGGACCATAGGTGGAACCAACATGGGTTAGGAGGGGATAACCTTGAAGGCAAATGTAGGAATCTGCATCCTGGTCCAATTAGTTTGCTACATTGGAGCGGGAAAGGTAAGCCGTGGTTGAGGCTGGATTCTAGGAAGCCCTGCACCGTTGATCATCTCTGGGCACCTTATGATCTTTACCGTTCCGACACTCATTCTTTGGAGGAATGATCATGGGAGTTTTAGGGGGAGGAGTGTTGCTGGGTGAAGGCACACCTGCCGCATGTGGGGAGCTTGGCTTAGATTATTGGAGAGACAGAAAGAACAAGATCTTATTTTCAAAGAATGATAGGAAGAATGCGTGAGAGATGTAAGTAACCATAATTCATTTGACAGTCCTTGTCAAAGTAGTGCCATATGATTTCCGTTGAGAGCGTCACTCAGCATTTTGCAGTTCGGTGAGGAAGAAAGGGAGATCAAGCTGGGTTTTGGATATAGGAAAATCATGAGCATTGATCCTGGATGATGGTAATGGCGGTACCATTTTGCATTAGTGGCTGCCTTGTCATATTCATGACAGGAACCCTGTCCTGATTTTTCTTTGTCCCTTCTGAGATGCTATTTCGTTTATATATCTATCCTATTCTTTGAATATCTTGATAGATTGTACATTCTTTTCAACCCAATTCCAGTTCAACAAAATTTTCTCATTTCAACCCTTTTCATGTCCCCTTGGTTAACATCCCGCGGCAATAGTTTGTGGGAGTATTTATTGAGTAAATATAATACAGTACATATTTAAAAAATTTTAAAAACATAAAAAACAAATAAACATTTTCTTTTGTTGATACAATGTCAAATCATTATATTCAATATCAATATCAGCTAATCAATGCCATTAATTTTATAATAAATTTAACTATCTCCAAATCATAAATAATAGTATAATTTATTTTTCAAATTCCTCATTACGTATTCAAACATTTAATATTGGTTAGAAGTTACCTAAACAGACTGGTTTAACTTTCTGGCAAAAAAGAAAAAAGAAAGAAAAAAATAAACAGATTGGTTTAACAGTTCAAAAACAAAAACAAAAACAAAAAGACACTCAAATTATTGAACCCTATTAATAGCGTTATTCAATAACGGTTATCTTGTCTGTAAAACATACCGCGCCATAATCTTTGATTCGATAATTCGTAGAACATACCTCGCCAAATCGAGAAATGGTCCAAAAAAATATACAGGACATGCTTTCTCATTTAATTGTATAAAATCTTTCTCATTTATTGCCGCAAATCCAAAGAATGCAATGATTTTAAATTGTACAGGTACGTGATGATATATGGATACTCATTTAGAATGCATTGTTTCTTGTTTTACACAATTTCGTTTCATTGACGATAGCAAATTCAGCTTCTATATAGGGACTTGAATTCAGTAACTGTACTTAATACAGGTATTGAGTATTTATTTCATCTAAACTATTAAAATATAAATCAACGATTTATATAAATTTATTCATTTATTAATCTTAAGTGAAATATAAATTCATAATCATTAATTTGAATTTTAATAATTTAGATGGTGTAAGCATTCAATATCTATATTAAGTACAGTTATTGAATTCAAATCTTTTTAAGATAGCTATGCCTTATTAATTGTCCTTTTGATCGAAGTGTTTTATTAATTGTTCAATCATGGCAAGAATGGAAGCTTGCAGCTGCCATAAGAACTTGGCACAACACCAATAACTTATTTTCTTCTTTTTCTTTAGTGATCTTGTATTAACAGCTATCCATTGCACTCAGATGGCATGGCATTCCCTTCAGATTTGAAACGTCTGCCTTCTCTGCTGAACTAAATGATCATAGCTAGCATTCCGAAGATGATTTGGCCCTTTTCAAAAGAAGATTAACATACATTACAGTCGATACAAAATTCTACCCTCTAAGATGATTCTCACTAACTGGAATTTGAAACCTCGATCACTACTCAGAAACGCTCGCTGCTGCGATTGACATCCATTAAGAAAAACTACTGCGATCATCGATACAATCTAACTTAAAGTGGCCGGAAGAAGAAGTGGGGAAAATGAAAGAACCAAACTGCTCAAACAGCACCCAGGCTCAGTTGATCAAGGACAATGAAACCAAGCCACCACCTTCCTCGGTTCATACTTGCTTGAACCCAAGGCACGCTGCTTCAAACTAAATTCAGACTTACTCTTCAACAGTAATGGTGGGTCCGGAAGTGGACTCTTCCACGTGAGTGTGAGACTCAACTGGGGGAGGCAATGCCAGAAGCCGTCCTTTCTGGGCTCGAGGGGGAAGATGCTTGGCATGTTTTCTAGAAGGCACGTTCCAGGGTAAGAACACCCCTGTCCCACCACGAGGAAGCTTTCGAGAACTCAACACCATAGGGCGCATAGGGGTTAACATGACCACTGGGGCACGAATTATTCCCAACTTGGGCATCATATCCACAGCCTCATTGCCACTGAGAGCTCCATTTGCCAAAGCATATGGGCTGGCTATTCCAGGTTGCCAAAGAGTCATTGTATTTGGCATGGAAGGATTTGGTGCTTGGCATTGGTTGGAGTCCGGCCTTACCCTGAAAAAGGTGATGCTGACCCTTCTGTTTGGGGATGGGCACATCACATGCCTTGCCATGTCAGCACTGTTCCCTCTCATCACTATAAGAGACCTGCAAAGCTCAAATGTGTCACTCCTGTGATCAGCTAAAACTCAGTCCATGCAAGATAAAATTCTGCGCTGCGAAAGAAAAAGTGCGACAACCCTAGTGATGCTTATATTAGTTTGATTAATGATGAAGACAAAGGCGCCGATGCTAAGAATATTCGGATGCAGCCCCTTTGGGGAAGTTGAGACCAAATGCTCAACGGACCTTGAATGGCCTGACGCTACTAGTCATAAGATGACAGTACCATACCTACCAGTGCCACCCAGCATTCCCTTGAATAGCGGGAAAACCGGTGCATGATTCTAGTTGTCCGCTATGAATTACACCATTTAAGATATATATGTCTCGCACACACATCATGCACACACTGTTCATACAGGAGGCGAAAAAAGGAATAAGAAGCTTTCCAATATCGAATATTTCAATTGCGACCCCCGAGATGATGAAGAAAATTATAAACTAGGTTTCAGCTCTAAAACTACAATTCTACCTATTGATGTCTCCAAAAGAGAAAAAAGGCTCTGTTTTTGTCCCTTCCCCACATGTCTGCAAGTTTCCATGGTGTTCTGTCAGTTATGCTATCAACGAACAATAAAGCAGTTGACTTGGACGTCAAGAAATTTTTAACTTCAAACTAAAGATCTTAGATGAGCCATGGGAGTTACAAAACCAACAGGCAGGCATTAGGGAATCTGCTTGATCGTTTGGTTTACTGCAACTCCACTCGAGTGATGCTAATAATGAGATATGCCAATGTATTTTACCATGTTAGCTAACGTTGAATAGATTAGCCTCAAATGAATATGCCTTAGTTCACCAAAAAACAAAAGGAAAGGAAAATGAATATGCTTGAGTTCTCACGTGTAAGCTCATTTCATAAATGTTGGAATACATCTCAATCTTTTACGAGTTGTCTTCATCCAAATAAGCTAAAGATCATAGTTGCGGAAATGATCATGTTTGAGGAAAAAGTGTATTTAATATATACCCATTCTTCGGTGAGAGCATGAGTGGCCCCTTGTAGTTCCCCTCACTGTCGCTGGTAAGGGTACGCCCAAAAGCCATGGTTGCTTCAGATAGAAGCAGAGTAGACACAGGTTGGTCCAGATGAGGTGGTTTAAGGAATGGCTGAGAATATTCCCCCTGAAATTGATGGTATAGACAATGATAAATCTGTTTTGTCGCACATAACAAATTCTCATTGTGCCTATTTTAGTAACATCTCAAGTGGAGCAGAGTATGCAATATTTACCTCTTCAAAGAAGTTGATGATGCAACTATTTGGCCTTTTGTACTCTGGAAGTAGTTTCCACTGAATAAGATGATCAATGACACTTCGAAGAAGAGCTGGAATTGGCTCTATATTGCCTGTAAACAGATTTTTAAAAAGAAAATAAGAATTACACACTGCTCCATAACTTGGAGTCGTTGATGCAATACCTGGGTACAAAATTACAATTTCATATCGGTATAGAGAAACTTGAAATCGTTTAATTCTTACTTTTGGCATCCTCCTTGATCGGTCCAAAAATTGGAACACCAAGTTGAATCAGCTCTCTCTTGTTGCCCTTCATCTGTTTGTTGAATAGTATAAAAGTCTCGCCTAAAATTGTCCAAGACGACCGCGAGTTAGTAATTTCTTCAAGACTATCGTGATTCCCCTTTTACATTCGAGAACACTAATTATACTAAACTATGGTTGGTTTACCTGAGAGTTCACCATTCTGGCCAGCAGAATGGATCTCATTGACGAAATCATAGAGCTTGCAGAGTTCTGAATCAGAGAAAACGTCCTCATATAACTTCAATCCTTTCACCACATTCACCTGCCAATTCACCAATACCCACCTGCTTCTTATTGCATAAACGAATCCAAGCGCCATTACTAAAAAGAATGCATTTGAATTTTGTGAAAGATAGAACTTGCCATGTGCCCCTTCACCGACTCCTTCGCCGAGAAGCCTTTTGTCAACTTTATCTGGGCATTACGTCCTTCACATTCTTCGTGGTTGAAGCATATACTGCTGTTCATCAAACTGGCTTGCATTTCTTGAGATCCTGCCACCCCAATATAAACAAAATACCACGGAAAATTCAGTGCTCAACAAACAAAGGACTAACCACAAGTCAGATTAAAAAACATTTTCATCCTATAACTGCGATGATCTCAATTGGTAGGGTAGTTTGTGAGGCTCAAAGAGTCCGAGAAGATTAACGAATCCAAACAAGTCATGTTTCTAAACTTGGAGTTCCAGTGATTAATCATCATAAATATAGTTATATAGTATTTGCCGTCTGCCGACAAAGTCCTCGTGGGTAATTATGTGTCCCTTGTACAGTATAAGGCCAAAATGGCCATCCCAATGCATCCAACAGAAACAGTGAAACATGAAAATGTCCACATTTGCATGCAATAAATGCATTCTTGAACTGATTTTTGCATCTTCAATTTGTTCACTAGCTAATATAGCTCATTGATTACTTTGACCAAACAAAATATGGCTCATTGATTTATACCAGGATCTCCAACTAACAACCAGAACAGCGTTGACCTGCCGTCTGGGACAGGTAGTCCAATTGAATACATAGCATTAGCATCGGGAATGGCACCCAAATTGTCGATGCCTGACCGCCCACCCGATTACCCGAACCCTCAACGATGGAAACAGGCACGTTACTTCAAGGAAAACAGGAAACAGCTCTGACCGGCTGGCGCCTGTAGCACACGCCTCTAGGTATACCTACCCCTGCCACTATGCGGTGAATGCCACTCCTGCCACTATCTGTACCCTGTGCCACCCAAATTCATTCTACGTGTTTTTTACAAAAAAGAACAAACTTCTTCTATATTTTCAAGCTGATATTCTCCTGTTATTCTCAAAATTATAGGCATCAAAATATTAACGCGACGCTGGCGGGTTGCACGTCAAATATGAATTTGTTGGGTCCAGCAACAAATAATTTTTAACATTTCAAGAAACGAACTGTATTTTTTTAAAATAAAAAAAACAGTTTCATCTGTCAATAAAATTTCTTGTCCATGACTATCAAGGGGGGAAAAAATCTCTATCTTCGATGGTTTTCTTCCAATACATCAAGCAACCTGTGAATTCCATACCAAACAAATGACACTATTGGAAGTTTTATAGGCTCCTTTCCGCTTTTCAATGAAAACGATACCCACACCAAAGCTTCATTTTAAAAAGTCAGGAAAGCTCAATTTTCTTTGAAAGCTTTATAAAATGTAATTTTTATTTCAAAAAGTAAAAGAACGAAGTAAAAGAGAGGCATGGAATACGCCGCCACTGGCCAAGAAAAAAAAAAAACAACGCCGTGAACGCCAAATCAATCCCAGCTTTCGTGGTGGCTAAAACAGGGGGAAACATTCTAGAAGCTTATCGATGAAAACCCAAAAAAGAGGAATATTGCCGGCACCATGTAATTACCTGAATCGGTAATTTCACTTTCCGGTGAATCATACTCTTCAGGAGCCTCGTCACCGCCATTTCCATCACTGTCCATTATTTTCGGATTGATTTTCTTTTTGTCCTCCAAACAAGTGTCCGCGTCCTCACTCTTTCTGTTATCTCGACCCTTTTCTTTGGCCTCTGTCTTCTTCTCGGCGACTTTGCGAAGCTCCACCGCCACTTCAGCTATTGAGTGATACTTCTGCATTTGAATGACCGGTATCCAGTTCAGTCTCCGACGATGAATTGCAGAAAAAACAGATTCATAATCGGAGGCCCCAGCGGCTGCACTGAGCTGAGCGAGGTGACCACAGAGAGCATCAATAACGGCGTTAGCAGCGGCAAATTCGCTGCGGAACCAAGAAATGATAGCATCTTTAGCAAATGAGTCCGAAACCATAATGGGAGTGGATTGCATCGGCACCATAGTAGGTCCCAGGGGCGGAGCATGATCGGTTGGTGATGCTGGCCCAGCCGGCATCGGCATCACGGCTATTTCGAAACCAATTCCGGCCTGAGCTACGGGGATTTATGTAGAATGATATGAGAAATGGGGTGCAATGAGGTTGGGGAGAGAAATCTGGATCCAATGAAGTCGGGTTAGGAGGGTGGACTGGGTTAGTTATGGAGGAAAGGAACAGAGGGTTGGTTTTCACATGTGAAGGTTTAGGGGCGAGTTAAAATATATACGCGTGGAGAGCTCGACCAAAGTGAGGAACAGCCGTACATATTGGCTCTTCGGATTTCGTGGCAATATTAGAGGCCACATGACGTGGAAATCATTTTAATGCCTTCAAAAAATTTTAAAAATTGATAATTACATTTAAATTTTTCATAACATAGGTAAATATCACATTTTTAACAAATGCTATAACAACTATACTGTAATATTTAATTCTGCTGTTAAAAACATAGAGCTAATTCTTCCAAATTATTTTTAGCCCAAAAAATAAAAATGAAACTTTTCTGTGCGTGGAAGGAGGTTTAGGTAGCTAGCAGCCCAGCTCACTAGTAACAAGTCAGACGGACTGATTGTTAGAGGCACGCAGTGGCAGGGAAGCTAGTGTTTCAGCTCCCTTTGATGGGAAGGTGAGCGAAGTTACGAGAATGAGCCTGCTTTTCACATTAATAAAGTTACGGCACGTGAGGTATTTGAAAATAACAATAAAAATACTAAATATCGAAATAAAAACATCACTCTTTTAATTACAAAAAAAAAAAATCACTCTTTTAGTTCTGGGCAGCCAAGGTTTCTTTTTCGAAAAAAAATTGGCATAGATCTCTTAACTAAACAAAATAAAAAAAGTCAGAAAAACACAATATTTGATCCTTGTAATTTCATGGGGTGTTTCTGTAATTTTTTTTCAGTATTTTCAATCTGTATAAGAACTTAAATCACTAAAATAATCGAAACTATAAGGAACTGAAAAATAAATATTATCTAATTTTTTTAAAAATATAGGAACTGAAGTTATTGAAAAAACTACAACGACAAAAAACAAAACATAATAAAATTTTAGGGATTAAAGATTATATTTTTTTTTTAAAAAGTCTTTTAAAGTCTAAAATTTCAATACAAATTAAAGGTAATGAAATCATATTAAAATGTTGGGAGGGATGACAAAATTAACCTTTTGATTATGTGAAGATACGAGCACAAATAACTTTGATAAAAAAATTAATTATGTTAATATGGGAAATGAATAACTTTAATATGTAGATTTTGCAACTTTATTTACCATGATAATAACAGTTTGAATAAAAATAAGTTATGTGTACTAACAAGTTTTGTAAGAAAATTAACTACATGAAAAATGAACAATTTTAATATGAAAAATTTGCAATTATTTTTGCCGTGATAACAATACTAATAATAAAATTAAATAAAGTTATGCATACAAGCAACTTCTAAAAAAAAAGTAACCATTTTAATATGAATAATGAATAACTATAAAATAAGAAATTTGTAATTATTTTTTATCATAATAACTACTATTGACAGAAGTATGAGGGGACGCAGGGGTTCTTGCCATTCATACACCATATGTCCCTTAGTAAAAATTATACAATTTTATTTTGTAAAATAGTTTAAATGGATTTTGGCCTCCCTTTTTTCATTTTCTTTTCAATTTCCCTCCCCCACCCCTCACTAGTGAACTATATATAGATTTACCCCTGACAACAATATTATTGATAAAATCAGGCACAGCAATGTGCATGAATAACTTTAATGAAAAAATTTATCACTTTAATACAGAGAATTTACATGTGTCTTTTAATAAGTTTAAGTTACTAGAAATAATTAAATAATTTTAGTTTATATTTTAATTTTATTTTATTATAACTCTCATCTGCCATAGAATTTTATATTTCAAAAGCTCTGTTTTATTTTACATTTGATCATGGGTCTAAACTGAAATTTTTCCTTCTTTCCTTCTTTCCCCTCTCTCACTGATTTTACTTTTTAGTGTGAGAGGTTTTGTCTCTATCCAAAAAGTACAATGTACTTTATCTGTAACAGTACGGAGCCACCCCTTGAGCCTCGACTCGGTACTGGACTCTGGCCCATCACTGGACCAAAGCCGACTTTCCCACAGGTGGTACTGTGGTTATTCCTCACCACTACCTCTCCAGGGTCTTTTGGAACCTCCCCAGACTCGAACATCCAACCTCTACCATCTTAACGAAGTTGAGGCGAAGTCTGGTACCACTGTGGTTATTCCTCACCACTTGACTCAATGGTACCAGACTTCGCCTCAACTTCGTTAAGGTGGTAGAGGTTGGAGGTTCGAGTCTGGGGAGGTTCCAAAAGACCCCCGTGAGGGTGGGGTGAGGAATAACCACTGTACCACCAGTGGAAAAGCCGGCAATCATGTGGTGACATGTGTGTTGTCCAGCGCCTGGGAAAAGACCCTGGAGAGGCAGTGGTGACCCAGGAGGGCTGTTACATTATCCATTTAAAAATATAAATTATTTTTAATTGAATCTCACTTTTTAATAAAAGTAATTATTTATTTGTAAATTAATCATGTTTTTTATATTTATTTCTATTAAACACTTTATAATAAATATAAAGTTATTCATCAATAAGAGCATTTTTTTTAAGATAATGATTATATCTCAAAAGGTATAAATATATAACTTTTTAAAAAATTATTTTATATTTTTAAATAGAAAAAGTAAATGTTAAGGCATAGTCTTTGAATGTTCTACAGTCTCGTTGAATAAAAACTTCCTCGATCTAAAATCATGGGCCGAGGCTAGACAAAATGTGAAATTTCAATTACTCTCTCGAGTGCTTTTTAAAAATTATGTTTTAGAAAGTTTCTTTTGTACTTCACTTTCTTTTGAGTTTTGTAAGTTTTGATCTACAATTTAAAAAGTACCCTCTAATAAATTCTCAAAAGAAATATAATATTTCAAATTTTAAAATTTTTTTCCTCACATATCAAATCACTCTTTTTTAAATATGAAGACAAAATAAATAATTTATTTTTAAAAATTTTTTATTATTCTGACAAAGTGACGTTGATTTTAATAAATTAATTACAAGTGACTTGTTAAAAGACACGAGGGAGTAAATGATTGTCAAAACATTTTGAGAAGATTTTAAAAAAATACGTTGATGGCTGGAGTACGTTCGTATCGTGGATGCCAGGTAAAATGAATGCATAATAGCTTTATACCTTTATGTATTATTATGGCCGAACTCTGTATAATTGGGTTACCGTTGCGTCTCGTGTCATCATCAATCATGTGGTTAAACTTAAATATATCAAGCCTAACAAATACTGATCAGAGCTTTTTTAAGGATAATCATTACTTATAATTATGTCAATCAACACCTTCAAGAATTTCCGTGGAAGCTTGTCGGTGTATCTGAACCGAATTATTATTTCATAATGCAATACCGGAAGTAACACAGGCAACCGCAGCACAGATATAGTTCTGCCCAATTGCACAGGGCATTTCATTTCAGCAGTTCCTTTTTGTTTTTCATTGTATCCTTGCAGGAAATAAATCTCACCGATAACAGAGATTATATTAGAAGTAGATCAGGATAGACATTTTCCTAACCATGTTAACACTTGTTATTATCGAAATTTCTAATAGAAAGAATACAGGACCATTGTTCAATCAAGTAGAATGAATGATATTGTTACTGACGAGAATTAATGTCGCCGGAGGGAAAGGTGATTATCCTGCCGAACAAAATATCTACCACTGGGTTCGAAAAAGCTTGGCCTCAGATGAATATATTGGTGGATATGCATGTATCAATATCAAATAAATTAGAAAACTAACAGTTTTTATATATGCATGGAATATCATATCATGTGACCGATAATAAAAAAAGCCAAAAGAAAAGATGCTTGGATGATGTAGTCGATAGAAATCAACTTTGGGAAGGAAGGGGAATAAAATAAAAAAGGATGAAAGAAAAAAGAGAATAAATTAAAGAAGATGAGGAAGAATAGGAAGGGAGGGTGCAAGTTGTTGGGATGCGAATGAGAAGCACAAGCAATCAATTTAGCTCCAATGACTGTATTTAATATAGATATTAAATATTTACATTATTTAAATTATTAAAATTTATATCAATAATTATAAATTTATACTTTACTAAAAATTAATAAATAAATAAATTTATTTTAATTATTAATTTAAATTTTAATAATCTAAATGATACAATGATTTAATGTCTGTATTAAATATAATTATTGAATTTAAATCTATGAGCAATGGGATGAGGTGGCGGAATAAGTAAAGCAAAAGGGCATGTGCGCGGGGCCCCTTCGGGAATAGGAGCATCCCACAACCAGCGAATAGGAGCATCCGACGTCGTTCTGCTGGGTCAATTTTGTATACGGCCCTCTTGTTCCCTTTGCGAAGCTCAGCGCCTTCAAATTAACACAACTTTCGATCGATTCCCCTCGTAAAGGCTTGGTCGGGACTCGGGACCATTGCTTTATGCCCCGGCCTATTGCCTACGTACCCACTCTCCTATTCTTCCTTTTTCATATTTTATATTTATTTAATCCCCACTGGTCTTCGCTTTTTTATTGTCTCACCCTTACACCTCTTCTAATTAGATAAAGCATTCGCATAAATTGGGGGTGTTGCGTTATTCGTATTTTATCGTCATTATGACATACGTATGGTAAGTACTTTGTTTCATGTAAAGTTTGAAGGGAAAGTGTATACATGATACGAGATTTTAACAATGTTTAAATTATTTTTGCCATTCTTTAATTGAGAATAAGGATAAAAATTATTTGGTGTCAACCTATCTTCTTTTTTTGAGACACTGTTGCGTTATTTCTTAAACAAGCTAAAATGCAGTCCAAATAATAATGACATTTGAACTCTCAGGTATTAGCCAATTACTGGTTCTTATTCCTTGAAAAAAAAAAAAAGAGGAAACGAAAAGAAAAAAATAAGAGACTTCCAAGTTTCTGGCCATTAGACCAACCAAAAAGTTTTTTGCCCATAACACCCAAAAAAAAAAAAAAACAGGAAAAGGAGGTTGTTGTCACAAACGTTAACGATGCTCGCAAAGTTTCTATTCTTTAACTCTTGATTAGGTCAAATCAACGATTTTATTTATTTTATAATCTTTGCCAAAAGGTTAAATCAACGAATTTATGTGATCGCTGATTAGTG